GGATAGTCTGTCTCCAAAACTCCGTTTCTGGCGGAGGTCTTTAGTAACGAGAAAATAGTATAAATATATTGTTATATCATTGTTAGATTGTAGACTTTTAGCCGCTGCTGGCGACCATCGCATCCATTACTGCGGCGGGGATAACTGTTGCTGTCGTAATTATTTTGACGACAATTTTGTCTGTTCCCGTTCCCTCTGCTGTGGTTGCTTGGCATCATTCTGGTTATATTATTCCAATAGCAAGTTCGAACTGAGGTTTACGCTTTAGCGTTATCGCTTCTGGTATTAAGCTAAGGCGACAGTCGTGATGTTGTTGGGAAAATCACAAGGCGGTTTGGTTTGAAGTAAAACATAGAATGTATCGACTTCTCTTGGATATGTGATGTACAGCCTAAGAGTTTTGGACAAAGCGAACTCCACCATAATTTTGGTCTTCATATTAATATAATCAACTGTTGGTGGAACTACGGATTTCCAAATAAAGAGCACACAGAAAAAGGGGTATCAGTTCTCCCCTACCAAATTTAGTAACTCGAAACGTTACCATCGAGATAATTCTTGGCAAAAAGTTAACCCCAACATATTAATATCATCTTGAAATGCTGGGCCCTCAGCACCGGCTACCTCTAGCCACACAATCAACAAAGCGGCTGACTGAACTTCAAAAATACGAAATCTGTTACGTAATGAATGCCAAGAATTGTCAATAATTTGCTATCCGTTTTGTTTGGACGCGCGCCACGCAGAGAAGACCTCTTGATCAAGCAAGAGCGGATCTTACGATTGCCGATAACAAGATAGCATCACTCGAACAACGCCTCCATCACCATTACTACTGACGACGCACTCTCTTGGTATCTGGGATAGATCAATTACCTTCGATATCTCAAACGCCCTCGTTAGTTCCATCACCCTCGGCAACTCACGGAATTCAGAATTATACAAGAACAGCCGGAGCTTGCTGGACAACAAGCCGAGACAGGGCCAAAAACGGACTCAACGAGAGTATCAGACACAAACACGAGAATCGATTCATCAATCGGCCTTTACTACCTCCAAAAAGACTTTGTAACATGTTCTGACAAAGACTGGATCTTTGCGCGTTTTTCAAGTAAATAATGATGATGTTATCTGTTATAATTCTCGCCATCGAATCAACCCGACATTGAACTCTTATGTTTATACATCTAGTCGTGCAATCTTTCCTCGAATTCTCTCTTCGTTCGACCTTGGTAACGATTCATCTCGTCAGTCACTGGCATTCGACTTCCTCCTTCGAAAATTTCGATTAATCAGCGTTGCGCATACTTTAAGTTGTAAGTGAATACTAGATACTTAAACTTATTGCAATTTTTAAAATGCTTGTATTACTAGCATTTAGCAATTATGAACTTTTCTGATTGTCGTGACACTTCTTGGCAATATCATTTCAGATGCTAACAGCACATATCTTCTAGAACCAGAGGATTCACGAGCGCTTAATGGGCAATATCTACAATGCACACTATTCCGACCATATCAACGTTCCGAGGTTGAATAGCCAACTGACATGCGGAACAAAGAAGACCACAATGAAGTTTAGAAGGCAGTTTCGTATTTCTAGATGGATTGGAAACAATAAAAGATCTAGGGAAAGTTGTATTGGCAAATAGAGGATTTAACAAGCGAGGATTAGGACTAGAGAGGATGGGATTAGAAGCAACATGTACAACTTCTGTGGGAGGAAAGAATAAGAGCTTCGGTAAGTTAAGATGTGTGGGAATTCGGCAGAGCAAGAGGAACTTGGAAAAGGATTGTCGAGTATATATGTTATGTTCGTGTGTGGCTGCTCATGTTTATCTTAATCTGTTATTCTGTCTAGGCTGTCCGCACTCAACAATAATGCTTAAAACTTCGGTCTTTACATTGAGACTGACATTAAGACAGAAGAAAGCCAATGTACTTAACGCCAAATTTGGCAAATCCGCCGCTCCCATTGTTTCTGTCGATCGAAGATTTACTAAAATCACCGTCCGCAAAACGTTCCAAAAAACACAAACCGTTAAACCGGTTTTTAATCTATCGCAGAAATTATGCAGCAAGCTTTCCACTAGATAAAAGGCCGAAGATGCTTCGGCAAAATGGATGCCTGAGGGGTCGACACTCCATATTTGGACAATGGATTATCACCGGACCGGGAACAGTATACCTTTGGCATCACCCGATTATTTATTTATGCACTCTCTTTTTAATTATTAAGCCAAAATTATCCTTCACAAACACTCAGAGTAATACCACAGCATAATTGTGACAGTATATAAGAGTACGCATTGTACACATCATGAAATTGTAGTACTGGTTAAGCACGAAGTATAAATTTATATAACTTTCCTAGCATTAAATAAAGTCTTCTACATGGGCTACTATGACAAATAGGACGTTATTTATCGCGATTATCTAATACGATTGTCGAAGAAGTGCTTGTCACTAACTATAACATGTAACGTATATATTCTTTTTTTGTTAAATAAAAGACTTTGAGCAATATTAATATAGCACGGAAATTTGCTGGATAAAATAACTTGGCCCAAACATGTTAATCATAATACAATATCAACATTATCTTTGTTGCATACTTTCATAAACCGATATCGATATTTTTTTTAACTATTCAATTCATATTACTTTATCTGTAGTAGTACCAGCCCATATTTACTTAGCAATTTTTAAGTCATAATTTTAAATTGTATACATGGATTCTGCTTCGTGTTTGACAAACATTGTCACAGATGGCAATTACAATATATTTTAGAAAGCTTAGACAAAAATCAAAACACTGGGAGAAAGCATTCTACGTGACATATTAATATGACAGCCAAATAATACTCGGTCAACTCCCAGTCTAAGTCAGAACATGCTCCTGGTTCTTATTGGTTGTCTGTGATAACCAACTAAGTTGATAACCAACAGAAAAGTTTTGATGAATCAGATAAGTAAGTCACATGATAAAATCTTCCTCCGCAGTCAAACAAACCCATGATCGGCAGTAATACAGATATTAATTTAGTCGCGTGTTAAGTCGCGTGTCGCAATTCGCAGCAACGTGTCGCGAAATATGTGACAGCACAAACGCTAAAATTAATTGTTCTTCATAGTATAATAATTTATATAGAAGCGTGTCGTTTTTCTTGCGACGAAAAAGATATATAAGTAGCTCTCCGTCGTCAAATCTTCATGTTGTCATGAACATCAAACGCGAATGTTGTAATGTTATGTGTTGTGAAAACATCGAAAGTTGAAATTTTATGTATGAATAAATAAAATAATACTGATCTTAGTAATATTATCCCGAAATCCTTTATTATAAATATACATAATTTAATACTCTATCGTCGAAACAATTGATTATTAGGCCGGACACTCCAATAAACGGCTCACTTAAGCTGTAACGGAATAGCATTGATTTGATCAAGCTAGTAAGGAACGAGTGTTTATAATTAATTATCGAGACGAATATTGTTTAATTAGTTTAGTAAAGACAAGTGACGGATACCCGACGTCGGAAAAACAAATCAAAGATGGCCCTGATTAAATTTTATAATTAGTATTATTTCCTTCGATTCTTTGATAGAATAATTGTTGTTATTACTCTATTAGAGGTACCCTTATTTGTATTCACGAGTGTTTGAAACTCGGATAGGGAGTGAGAAGCGCGCATAATTAAAACAGGTCACTTGAGGCTTAATTGTACAACTATCGTAGTAAGGGGATAGTACGAGCTAAGTCTGGTAACATACCCCGGTCGGCGAGCGAAGATAAATCGCTCTCCCCCAAACCCATTTAATTACCGACCGTAACATTAACAATCTACAATTAAAAATTGTTAAAATACTTGACAAAAATAAATCGTTATAAACGTAATTCACTTACGCTGCAGTAATCACACTCTAGCATTTGAATCCTGTTTCATCACACATTCAGGTCTACAGGAACTGACAATTGCTTTTAGATGAGTTTCAATTACATTGGTATCAGTTGATCCACTTTCTCCAGTCTTTTCTAGCTTGTCGTAAAAAGGTTTTCATAATTAAATATACATAGTAATAGTAGATAAATACAAAATATATACCTGTTTTTAAAGCTTTGAAGCCATCCAGAACGAACAATTATGTCTGAGAGGAGTACGGCTGGTAATGTATCGAAGTTAAAGTGTGCACCGTGCCCATTCTCGGAGTGCAGGCTCAAGTTCGGGGTATTTTAAATTGCGAGATTTTTTTGTGGATTTTACAGTAAATCGGTTTTGTTGTCTCAATACTCGGATGAGCGCGTCGTTCTGGATCAACTTCACGCCAACCGATTTTACGCGGTCTTGTTTACTACATGTGATAAATCATGTGATAGCGTATTAGTGAGGAATGCTAACTCGGTATGACTGTTAATACGTTCGTCGGTGTATCGGTGTGTCGATATGTCGGTACAGTATTCGGAACAGAGCTTCTTTTTCCATCTTTTCCGTTGAACCGTGCAAACTTTTTTGTACTACATTGTAAATAAAGTTTTTTTCACAGACCATAGATATCACATCTACTATGATGATACCAGAATAGGATATTAATATGGCTTGCTTCCACGCTTCCTTCCCTTCCCTTTGTTTAATGACAAAATTATAGTCGATACCTTTCCCGACGCTAGTCTAAAAGTCGAATTTGTGTTAGTTATAATTTGATGATGGTCATTTGATATGCAGAATATGCCGTGCCACCATAAAAAAAAAGTGAAGGAAGGAAAGTCTATGCTTGTGCTCTCAACATGCAGGTACATATGCTTGGGTCCCATAACAAGTTTTGGTACCGACAAAGAAATCGAATAACTATTTTGGATGGTCTAGATTTTTTGTTCACACGAGCAATGACGCCAAAAGGGAAGTGAAAGGAAACAATGGCAGCACACCTAATTATGCGTTTGCTGAGATAGTCATATATAAATGACATGAGAAGACTCGGGTTTCTGCACAAAGCAAACGTAAGACATAACGAACATTTCTTAACAAAATGGAAACCTCATATATACGTTCTCACATCTCAGTTAACTTCCTTATTTACAAAAAAAGAATCGTCAAAACTCTGACGTTATTTACATACCTAGAGAGCGTTAATTGCGAAAATATATCTTTTCACTCCCGACAATATCTTTTCCAACCCATCGTTTTTTCGTTCGGTATGTCCACACCGCAAGTCAAATAACTGGGTGAATGGGCACTACCACATGTAACGGCCTCCTAATTGGCCATTGTTCACCATGTTTCTTCGACCAGTACGGCTACGGATGGTCGCAACCACATGTACAAGCCTCCTAAACGGGGCTGGCCTTTTATTCTAATACGCCTAATTAAATGTAAATGGATGGGCGTCGCCACATGTACAGGCCTCCCAAACAAGCAGCTTCTTCGCTGGGAGCGAGACGAAACGATATACTTTTTCGGGGAGTGGTCTTACGCTTGGCTTGTTAAAATGGACGATTAAAAAAAAAAGTAATAATAATAAAGAAAAAGAAAAAAAGAAAAAAAAAGAATCAGAAAAAGAAACAAAAAACAGAAAAGGGAAAAGAGAAAGAAAAACAAACTAAAAATGAGCAGCAAATGTGATTACATATATGTAAATAGTTGAGAATGAAGAAGGTGAAAGATGGTTTAAAGAAAGAATAAGCCAAACTAAAGCAGATAACGAGATCGATAATTCAACTTTATTAGTTACATTCTATAGAGTTTAAACATATAGCGAGCGTAATGTATCAAATTTCGAATAACAACACTATGGCTTATCATATCTCAATATCAAGCTGAATGTGCTGGTAAATTGATGGATTAACAAGTCAAAAAAAAACTTCATATATAATACATTGTATCTTTTACTTATCACCGCTGGTGGTCATAGGAAAGACTTTATTGTATGTTATGATCAAATTAGTGTAAACAATGAAGCATAATATAAGGATAATATTGATAATATACAGTGATATAGTTTGACTAGTCACGTTACGCACTGTGATACAAGTTTATGTTACACACATACTTAATACTGTGCCAATAATAATGATATTAAAGCATTGAGAGACATAGTAACAGTATGCATTCTATGTTA